TTTTATGTAGAATTTTTGCATTTTGTTCATAAGTGTGTGAGACTGATCTGATTTTTTTTCTTTTGCCTACTCTCCTTGTTGAGTTTTGGTATCAAGATTTGCTATCATGAAATGAGTTAGAGAATGTTCTCTCCATCTCTTAAATAGTTAGTGTAATTTCCTTTAAATCTTTGGAAGAATTGGCCAGTGAAGCCCTCTGTGCTGGTTTTTGTATTTTGGTTTTGATTTTGTGTATGTGTATGGGGAGGCACAGGAGTTTGAAAATACACATTTAATTTCTTCAATAAGTATGACTATTCGGATATTTATTTATTGTCAGTTTTGGTAAGTTACAGTTTTCTAGGAATTTATCCATTTCATGTGACTTATCTAGTTTATTGGTAGAAATGTGTTCATAATATCCTCTTGTTATCTTTTTAATATCTGAAAGATCAGTAGTGATATCCCCTTTTTAAAATTATTGATTTTGGTTATTTTTACCTTCTCTATTTTTTAAAACTACTCTCAATGAGGTTTACCAATTTTATTAGTCTTCCAACACTGAAATCTTAATTTTTTTAACCGATTGTATACTTGTTTTTTCTATTTCATGAAATTTATGTTCACATCTTTATTATTTTCTCCTTTCTACTTTCTTTGTATTTATTCTTGGTGTTTGTTTTCTAAGTTCTTGAGATGACTGTTTATTAATTTTCAGCCTTCCTTCTTTTCTAGTAAATATACATTTAGAGCTATAAATTTCGAACTACTGCTTCATCTACCTATAAGTTTTAGTATGCATTATTTTTCTAATTTAGTTCAAAGGATTTTTAATTTCCAGTGTGATTTCGTCTTTGCTTTGTGGATTATTGTGAAGTGTCTTTCTTTGTTTCCAGACATACAGTGTTCCTAGGTATATTTTTATTAATGATTTCAAGTTTAATTTTATTATGATCAGATTATATGGTCTGTGTGATGTCAATATGTTTTTAATTTGTTGAATCTTACTTTAAGACTCAGTATATAATCATTTTTTGTAAATGTTCTCTTCGGGTTTTTTTAATGTGTGTATTCTCAAATTGTTTTACACAGTTCCTAGCACAAGTTTGTGTTAATATTGTTTTCTCTTCACCTTACTTGCATCCTTTTGTCCATTTGTTCTATTCAGTTACTGAAAGAGGTGTTAAAGGCTTTTATTACGACTGTGGATTTGTTTATTTCTCTTTGTGTCGATTTTTGCATTATATATAGTGGCTATATTATTAGGTATACCCAACTGTAGAATTACATATTTCTGGTCAAGATATTACAAAGTGATTTTCTTTATTTTTAGTAATGTAGCTTTAAGGTCTATTTTTTATGATATTAGTACTTTTGCAGTAGGTTTTCTTTGAGGGTTAAATTTACATGGTTTATCTTTTTTATCCTTTTACTCTAAACTATCTGTATTTGTGGCTTGGATCTGTTTCTTGAATTTTGTATTTTTTCCACTGTGAAGATCTTTATCGTCTAACAATCTTTTATTTTCTTTATATTTAATGTCATTGTTGATTTGTTTAGGTTTAAATTCTCCACTGTATTATGTGTTTTTCTCTGTTCCTTTTGATCTCTGTTTTCACTTTCTTTTGGACTGATCTTGTATTTTTTTTTTAATCCAATTGTTCCCCTGTTAGTTTTGGAATTACATAGTCTTATACTAGATATTACAACATATATCCATAAAATAATAGATTCCACAGGTACCTTGAAATATTTTAGTGCTATGTGTGACCTCCAAGTTAAATGCTATTTTTATATATTTTAATTTTATATATAAGTTTTAAACCCACAAGACATTATTATTACTGTTTTTGTATAGTTACTGGTCTTCTAGATATACCCCCATTTTTACCATTTTTAATGCTTCTCATTTCTTTCTGATCTTCAATTTTATATTGGGTTAATTATTGTTCTTTCTGAGAGATACCATGTAGTATTCCTTTTACTCTGTATTTACTGGTGACAGATTCCCTCAGTTTTCTAGTTGTTTGAAATGTCTTTATTTTACCTTTGGTCTTGAAGGATATTTTTTGCTGGATATAGAATTTTAGGTTGACATGCTTTGAATATATTATTCTTTATATTCTTCACATATTGGCTTTAGAGAGATCTGCAGTCATTGTTGAACACTTAAAATGTGGCTAATTTGAATTGAGATATGCTGTGAATGTAAAGTATGTGCCAGATTTCTAAGACTGACTACAAATGAAAGCATGTAAAATATTTCATTAATAATTTTTATATTGATTACATGTTAGAATAATACTTGGGATGCATTGGGTTAAATAAAATATATTATTAAAACTAATTCACCTATTTCTTTTTACTTTTTTAATGTGGCTATCAGAAGATTTACAATTATGTCATATATGGCTCACACTTGTGGCTTGTATTGTATTTTTGTTGGATAGTGTAGCTACATGGTAAAGCAGTTGAGACACATGCTCTGTAGCCTGGATTTGATTTCTGGCTCTACTTTTTACTAGAAGTGTAATCCTGGGCAGTTTTCTTAATTTACTTTAATTTCTCATCTGTAAAAGGAGAATAATATCTATTTCAAAAATAAATTGTGAAAGTAAAACAAGATGAAGAGAGTAAAGCACTTAGCACAATGTACGACTTCAGTAGTGATAAAGATTTAACCATTATTTGTGTTTTTGTTAGTATAGTATAGTGAGATTTTATAGTTCAAAGGGTATTTTCTTTCTCTCCCTTAGCACTTTCCTCTTCACCTATAGTAATAGAGTTCTTAAAGCCAGACTATAATTTGGGGACTTAACATATGTACAAATTTATAAGAGGATGAATATGTCACAGGCAAATTACTCATTGGCTGCAGAGACTTCTTAATGCTTCTCCAAGATAATGTTGGGTAAAATATCTCTGTGAACTATGTAGCAAATGTATAACCAAGCATTACAACTTTAGACAAGAATCACACAGCCAAGAGATGACGGTATGTTGGAAACGATATTGTTCCAGGACTTGAGAACTGGGCTGTAGTCCTGATTCTGCCACTGCCTTCAGCTGGAGTTAAATTTCTTTATTGTAAAATTGTGAGATTGAATTGAGTGATCACATAGGCCTCCTAGGGTTCTATGATTTTCTTTATGTATTAATGCTTACGTATCACATATTTTTAATCTACAGGCCAGTTAGCCTTAGGTTTCCCAGCTCACACTGGAAGGATAAGAGTGGACATAGGGTTAAAGGAGGAGGCACAACTTTTTGATTCACACCCAAAATCTTACAAGATGCTTCAGGTTGTACTAAACAATTTTTTTCAGAATTGGCTTTAATTTAGTAGAATAAAATAGATATTTTAGGTTGTATTAAGGTATCATATAGACAGGAATCATGGTTATAGTTTATTGTTGGACTTGTAAGAATAGCTGGGTTTTAACTCCAGCTTTGCTGCTAGATAATTAAGTAAGTCCTGAACAAGTTTTGTTTGTTTTGATTTCTCTAAATGTAATAATGTGGAAAGTAATAATACGGAATATTACACCTTACACAGAGTAGGCACTTGAAAAATTAAAGAAATCAGTACTTTTTGCTCTACTATATAGGATTTACATTAGTGTTTGTGAAGATACACTAGAGGAAAATAATTTAAAATATTATATGAATAGAGATCTATAATTTTAAAATAAACATCATACAAAGATCTTTATTACTAATTTTGTTTAAACTGTCAAAGAATTCAGGTTTTCATGTTCTTCAAAGTATAGACCATTGAAAAAGGTGAAAAGCTCCCCAGTTTATTTTATGAAGCTAGCCCGACCTTAAACCTGTTAGAGGTTAAACCTCATTGAGATAGTATAGATACACACACAGTTCATGTATGCGCACACACATACTCACACAGATGTGTATACATACCTATGCTGAAATTCCAAATAAAATGTTAGCAAATTGAATCCAATAGTGTATTAAAAAATTACATATACTGACCAGAAAGGCTTTATCTCAGAAGTATAAAGATGGCTGTATAGTATGAAACTTGCCCATAATTTCTTGTATCAATACATCAGAGAAAAATTTATGATTATGCCAGTAGATGACTTTTCAAAGAAGAGAAAATCATGTAATAAAAATACAGCAACTTCACTCAAAAATGCGAAGTAGAACAACAATGAGATAATACATAGTACTGGCACTATGTAGGGAAATGGGCACTCAAACTTTAGTGGCAGTGTGAATTGTTAAGCCTTTTGGGGGAAAACTGATAATAGCTATTGAAACAAAAATGTGCATTATCCTTTGAGTACTCTCCGTTTTGGGAATCATTCCTATGAAATATCATATAATAGTATATACCAGAATACTTAATATACTGTTACAGTATATTAAGATTTAAAGTCATGTACATTTGTTTCATGGTTTGTAATAACTAAAAACTGGAAACAACATGAATGCTGATCACTGGAAGAGTGATGGAATAAATTTTATTACATCAGTACTATGGAATATGGTGTAATTATTGACTCAGAGTGATATCCATGATGATATTGTAAAGTTGGGATGTGGAATGATAAATTATAGATTATTGGGCATAATGTGACTCATTTTTTTTTTAAAAAGAAGGGCTGTATATGCTAATGATTGTATGAGCAATGAGAAACTTGTGGAAGGACTGGGTTAAGAGAGATGGTGGGATTGATGGAGTGGGGAAATCATTAAGTTTTCTTGATATGTTTCTTCAGTGTTTGATTTATAATAAAAAGCATTTCTACCTTTGTAATCATCATATAATGAAGGAAAGAATGCTAAATAAATTCAAAGTATGAGGGACTGAGTTCTGAAGAAGCTGGATTTGGTTAGGGATATTAAAAAAATAGAAAAGTATTATGCATACTATCTGTTGTAGAGAACAGTTGTAATCATTTCCATTCAAGGCTATTATCACAAATCACCCCTGAAAGTAAAGATATTTTATACTAAGAGATTGTGGCTTTACTGATTTTTTTTTTCTTTTATAGCAACTCCGCTCCAATATTCGAGAAATGGAGAAGCTTTGTTTGAAGGTTCGAAAGGATGACCTGGGACTTCTGAAGAGAATGATAGATCCTGTTAAAGAAGAAGCATCAGCAGCAACAGCAGAATTTCTCCAACTCCATCTGGAATCTGTAGAAGAACTTAAGAAACAATTTAATGATGAAGAAACTTTATTACAGCCTTCTTTGACCAGATCCATGACTGTTGGTGGTAACTTACTAAGTCTTATTCTTGATCATAATATAGTAATGCAGTTAATTAAAGTTCACCTCCTTGTATTCATATTGCAAATTATATATAAATCTCCAGGGATCACCTCCTATTCCAGTGTGCTGAATTCTTGGATCCTGAGTGTACCTGGAAATGCATATCCTACAAGTTTTAGAGGGTAAAAAAAGTTGAGGCTATGCTGTATAGTGTGGAACTTTAAGGCTTCAAGTACCTATTGTGCATATTTTAAAAAATAAATTTTAAAATATTTCCTAAGAAGAATGTCATCCTTGTCTGCATAGTACTCCTCCCTCATCTCCAGGTGCAGGGGTAGCCTAGGCCGGCATGCTTCTTTCTTAGGCATTTTGATTCTCAGAGGGGTGTTAGATCTATCTCCCAGAAGAATCTGCATTAGGGATCATGCCATCAACTTTTATCAAGTTACACTGTAAGAAGCAGCCCCGTGAAACTTGTCATTATATCTCTTCTAAGGACATAATTAATAATTGTTGACTCTATTATATAATATCTTTATGAAAAACCCAGAAAAAAATTCTTGGTTTACTGCATAATAGTACTTCATAACAGTTGACTTTTTTTTTTTTCAATCTTACGGGTATAGAATGGCATAATTAATAAGGTTTCTCTACTTGTCTATTAGAATGCTTAAATCCAAATTTTTTAACTTCCAAAAGCCAAGATTTTGAACTCTCCTGGCTTTGTTTTATAATTGCTGCCCCTGTTTTTTCTTTATTGTTTCAGAGTTCTCTTTTTAATTTATGCCTTCTTATTACATATATATTTTTATATATATTAAGCCACCTTAAATCTTTATGGAAAAGGTGGGGTATAAACCAATTACAAATTGGAACAGAATCTGAGAGATGTTACACCTGCCCAGTTTTCCCGTTTTCATTTACCTGAGAGGCTCCTATACCACTCCCTGTCTTTAAAACCAGATTATTTTTAACATCATATTTTCAGTACCAATGATCCAGTAATTTACAGGGAAATTTTTTAAAAAAGGAGAAACATTTAGGTCATCATCCAGAATTTCTGGGTAATCTTGCTTTTATTGTCTCCTTAGTATCTAGCACCTTGTACCTGCTGTGCTTGGCACATAGTGGACCATTAATAAATGTTTTAGAAATACCAATGAATAAATATCTTTTTAGAGACAGTTTTATAATTTTAGATTTACTATAATTACTTTACTTTGTGTATAACCACTATCTAAAGTATTGTTTTTGGGAGAAGGAAATGTTAGCACTCAACCTTGGTTGAAGAGTATTGGGGAAGAATGCTTTTTGACAGTTGTAGTTACTGTTTATATCATCTTGTTCATGTATAATTGTCACCATCGTAATGATGAGGGTGAATGCTGTTCTTATCATTTAGTGCGAACTTATACTTTATGTGCATGTATAGAGAAACAAGATTTTATAATTTCCATGAGATTAAGGGGCCATTATCTGTGAGACACTGACAGTTGTGATGGAAGTTATAACAGTTAAGATGCTGAATTTTCTGGAGTCACTGGCATCAGTCTCTTTTGTTACTTAGTTTTAAATTGCTCATCACCAGCAATTCCATAGCAAACTAAAATTTTGAGTTTTATCTGAGTATTCTAATACTTGCTTTAATTTGCATTTTACTATTGCATTGTTTGTGTTTCTACCAGTAGGATAGTTTGGGCTCAACAAACTTGGGTTTATATATCATCAGAGGAATTGGGTGATTAATAGAAAAGGGCAGTTTACCCACTTTGCTGGTAACTAACTTTCTCTTTAGGGAGCTGATCAGTGTTTAAAAAAAAACATGTTGGCAAAATTTGAGGAAACGTATATAAAGGAAATGAAGATTGTGGCAGAGGAAGTGAAATTTGTTTTCCATCTCTGTTGATTCTCAAACTTCTCAATTCATGAAACACCAAATTAGCTACAGAATTAATCACTTGCCATTGGGAGAAACTACAGAATTAAATCTCTGTATCTAGTGCTGATTTGATTGAGATAGTCGTTCCATTTATAAAATCAAATACCTAAGTTATAGCTAAAACAACGTGTATAGTTTCAAATTCTGTGTGATCTGCTGGTCAGATTGTGCTTTAACTTTGAATCCATTGCCAGCATTAAGCAGTTAAAATTAACTGTCTCACCCAGTGCCTGAGTATTTCACCAAATGTGAGAGTTTCTACTAGGTTGCCTTAAGTCCAGAAATATTATTAGCAAATAATTGAGAGGATGAGAAAGAGAAGAATAATGAAAAGAAAGCAACTAATTTACATAAGACTTTAATATTGGGGTAGGCATTGGTTTTGCTCCATGTGTGGACTTCTAGCTATAGACTCTTTTGTCATTCTACATGTTTTTATCCTGTGCTCTGTGGTTTTTTTCTTATTTTTGCTTTAGTTACTCATAATAGTAGTGATGACCTATACAGAAAAAAAAGTGTTTGATTTGCATAGAAGTTAAGTGCCTTAAAATACTTTTTCTTTTAATAATTCAATCCGATTCTAAATAAATTATTTGGAAACATCAGCAGAGATTCAGGAGCAATGTTGCCACGTTTCCATGAGTGAAATCAAAATACAAAAATAGTTTTTCATTTACAGATAGAAATAACAATTAGAATGGGATGTTTTATGTTCTCAGGAGAATGAAAGAAGCCTATTAAGTTCAAGGGAGAGCTGTGATGATTTTGCTATTACTTTTGTCCAGATTCTGAGAGTTCCTAAAGCAGATCTTCTCTGCCAATCTTGCTTGATCTCAGGAACTCCCTTCTGTCTCTCTTGCGTGTCTAGTTTCATTTTTAACATATTCCTTCCTTCCAAGAGAGGTGATGAGCATACAAATTTGATTTGTATTTAGAAAGTTGTATCAGGTCATACAGAGCAAATCAGTGCTTCTCTCCTCTGTCTTTCTCACTCCCCATCCAGCACATACACTTCACAAGTGCAGTGGAAACAGAATCTTATTACATTTTATATACATATTCACAAAAGAAAAGAATCTAATCTTAAAACTGCTGGGAACTTCAGGCCAGCATACTGAATTTGATGAAATAACCAGATTTTATCACAGGAATATATACACATATATTGAACAGTTTTGTGAATCATGTAGTGCTTCTGTGTATTATTTAGAAGGTGTGTTTTCTATTGGTTTTAATTATTTTCTTAAAAATCCTCCTTTGCAGCCAAGTTAATCATGACTTAGAAGTCATTTTGTTTTGATAGGTAGGTTTATGTAGATGATCAATAAAATAATTTCACTCATGTTAACACTGTCAGAACATGAAAGAATTCAAGAAATGCCTTTGAATTAACCTAGATTTATAATGGAATTTTTCCTAATGTAGTTAAATTTAGTGGAAATTCCTTAATATTACATTGTAGTTCTTATTAGAATCATTACTCTTCATAAAGTGTGGAGAAAGGTCAAGGGAGGGCAGGGAAAGAATATGTTTAGACACAGAGAGAAGGAAAAAGTCTTATATCTGTGTTCTTTGAAAAACACTGATGAGTGATATGTATGTGCCACATGCCCTTCACACTTGCAGTCATTTGCAGGTGGATGGAGCTGAGATTATGTCATAAAACACAATAGCAACTTTGACTTATGTGGACAGTATAAAAATTCTTTTTAGCCATCTTTCCTGCAGCTATAATCTGGCTCAGTGTTTTGCCTCATCATGTCTGTAGCAACTTGTAAAAGTTCAAAGTCGTGTCTGTAGCAACTTGCAAAAAGTTCAAAGTCAATGGATGAGCACTAAGATTTTTTAATGTAAGCTGGAATACATGAATTATGGAAGTTGTAGAAATTAAAGGCTTTCCTTTCTTAATTGTTAGTCATGCCTCATATTGATTAGTGATGTTCTGAGTTGTAAGTTTACAGCAGGATTTTCCATGGAAGAGAATAGATTTCTTTGTTCTAAAACTCTATTTGAACTAAGATGCATACGCAGTTTGGTTTCAAGTGAAACATAAATGACTTAAACATTTCTTATTTTTCACTGAGGGAAATCTTTTGTTTGCTTAAAATGTCAAACATTTCCCATCACCTCATTTTTTCAGATCAAGAATTTATGTATGGTAATCTCTCATTTTGTTATATAACCTAGCATACTTCATTGGAATCCTCTCTAAAAGTACAAAAGTTACGGCTTAAAAAAATCTTTACAGTGGTGTAATGTTTATAAAGTTCTTCTTTACATTTGACTTGTTAATGATAAAAATTATTATTCATCATCCTATTAAAGAAGTTGGAGTTCTTATTGCCAAAGGAATATTCAGCAGAAGAAAGGTCTTAGAGTAATTAATCACTTTGATTGAAGTGAAAATGAAAGACCAGTCTTTAACTGGCCTGCAAGTTTCCTCCTAACCAGTATATAATAGACAGTATATAATGTCTTATACCTGTAACTGTATGTCTTTTACTTTATGCTTTGGGAAAACCGAACTGCTATATTGTTTTCTCTTTGAGGACCTTTTTCATGCTGGTTTCTCTATCTAGAATTTGCCTTCCTTTCTTCTTTGCTTAGTAAGATCACCTTTTTAAGGAAACTGTCCCATAAACTGCACACCAGACCAAGTTAGGTCAGATGTCACCCCTAGCTTAGAACTCCCATAAATACTGTATGTGTATCTATATCTATTTATCTAGATATCAGTGCACTCTTACTATTTTAGGATTGTCTCTGTGTATGTCTACTGTTCTAAAATGTAAGTTCCTTGAGAGCAGTTACTTTGTATTCTTGACTTTTTTAATCCCTGGTACTCAACACAGTACATAATGGGTGCTGAGAAAATATTAAAGTGGTAGGTATTTGGAGCTTGCAGTAAGGAAGACAAAAAGAAAGTACCTTCAGATCTCTTTTTTCCATTTCCACTGCCACTATCCGAGAGTCATCATCATTTTACGACACATTGCCTCCCAACTGGTTTTTCACTCTAGTTTTTTCGCCTTTGAACTCCATCCTTAATTTGTTCTTTGCATTTTAGCAGTGATTACCTTTCTAAATCTGAAATCTGATTATGGCATCCTCAGCTTTCCAATAGTCTCCAACTCCTTTTAATAGTGAATATCGATCTTTTGAGAAAGACAAAACTCTTTAATGTAGTTTCCATTGCCATCAGTGATGTCACCCTAGATTTTCCACCTCAACCTTTGCTTTCTTTTGTCATAGTCTCTGCTTCAGCTCTACTGACTCCTTTCAGTTCCCAAACTTATCCACAGATTATTCTCCCGGGCCTGAGTATTCTCTCCTTCCCCCTCCACCCTTGCCCCAGTTCTAATGTATAGTTTCCAAGGCTTCAGCTTCAGAACCTTCTCAGACCACTCTTGCTCCATGAGTCTGGGTTGAGTATCTCTCTTCTGTGCTCCTCTAGCATTCAATTCTTACCCATATCATAGTTCTTATCAGAATGTAATATATTTGCCTGCTAACGTGTCTGTGTCACACATTAGATGGTAAGTTCCATCAGTGATAGCAGCAGTGACAGTGGCAGTAGCAGTAACTATTAACCACCTGTACTTGATATATAAGCTAGGCACAGTACAAAATAAATATCACCTTATTTTACAAATGAGAAAATAAGTCCGAGATGACATGCCTCCCCAAGTCAAAGAGCTAGTCAGTAGACAAACTAGGATTATAACCCAGGTCTTTCTGACCAGGCCCATACTCCTAACCACTCTGCTTTGTTGACTCCTTGAAACCGTTTTACGGTTTACCTTGGCACGCTTATTGGCACATCATAGGCATTTTATAAATATAAGTTTAATGAATGAATGATTGGTAAAACCAACAGAAGGACATAAAGACTTGAAGGTGGAGTTTGGAGTGTCAGTTAATTCATCTTTATAGCAGTGTTTGATGAGGAAAGGCTTAGTGGGTTGATGGCTTTTTAAAATTCAGAAAAGCCATAGAAGCAGTAGAGGCATGAGCCAGAAAAATTACTCTGAGGAGAAGGGTGATGGTATGGACAGAAAGATACATATTGTAAGAGGTGTTAGTTTGACGACACATTTATTGTTAGCAAAAATGACTGATTTTCATTGCTAAAAACACATCACTTCCCTACTTACAACATCTTGTGGATCTGATCATTATTACTAAAATAGCCAAAGAAAAGATTAATTAATTAGCAATGAAAAGTGTTAAGCTTACTTCTACTGGGTATCTCTTTATGGAACATTGGCCAAATAAAATAGTTCTACTTTGGCTCCTTCCACATCTAGCCCTAATTATTCAGATTGCTAGGTAGTATTTGTGGCCATTTTTTAAGATGACTTCGTAGAATAATTAAAGAAAAAAACATTTGTTAGCTAACCTGCCCATAGATAAATCAATTTACTTTTAGCCTGAATTCGGTTAATAAGCATTTCACATGGTAATTGTTTTATGGAATTGATTTATGCTATCATCTTTCTAAAAAAGCAGATAAACTCTAAACATGAGGCTATGTTCATCCAGGAACATTTCACACTGCTGAAGATGAAGCTGATCCTCAGAGTATGACTCAGATATATGCGTTACCTGAAATTCCTCGAGATCAAAATGCTGCAGAATCATGGGAAACCTTAGAAGCGGTATGTTAAAAGTTACTTTCCTTTTGGTGGCTGTGAGGCATGAAAGTAAGTAACTTTCCTTTCTCTCTCTCTTTTTAAGGACTTAATTGAACTTAGCCAACTGGTCACTGATTTCTCTCTCCTGGTGAATGTAAGTATATAACTGTTTTTGACTCAGAGATATTAGATTAATAGGATAAGAGGCTTTTTATCAATTGCTAGGCTTTTGATTAGAATTTTAATAGAATTTACAATTTTTAAGACTGATACTGAGACATGGACAGAAGTCTAACTGTTCTCAAATCCCAGTTCAATTCAAAAAAATTGTATTAAGCACTTTTTATATAAAAGGTACTGTCTTAGATCCTTGGCATTGGGGTTCTGACAAGATTGGATAAAGCAGTAAATGAAACTTGCTCTCTGCCTTTAAGGATTTACAGTGGGCGACCATAAGCTTGGACCCCCAAAACAGATTTCAAGCATGGTTGTTAAATGCAAAAATAAGGTATGAAAAGAAGTATCAGCTCCAAGGAAAAGCATTTAATTCCAAGGGAGGGAGGCAGAGTTGTGAAGTAGAAGCATTAAGCAAAGCGTCACAAGATAGGCAGCATTTGCTTGAGCCTTGAAAATCGAGTAAAATTTCCACAGATGGGAATGAAGGGTTGCATTTAAAGATACCTGAACAAAAGACATGGAGTAGAGAGCCTGTAGCCTTTCAGGAATGACAAGTATTACAGCTTAACCAAGGTATAAGTTACCATGGGCAAACTAAGCCGAGAGATTGAGATCTGTTGAAGGCCATCCTGAAGAATTTGAACTTTACTTTATAGGCATTAAGGAGCTAGTAGACTTTCGAGCAGATGAGAGTGATGTGGTCTAGTCTGTGCTTCAAAAAGAAGCATTATTAGCAGTGTGAATAATGGTCTTGGGGAGGAGGAGATTATAGACAGAAGGACTACATAGGAGTCAGTTGCAGGAATTCACTGAGAGCAATGGCAGTACAAGTATAAAGGTAAAGGACAGCTAAGAGGTATTTCGGGGGTAGGCTTAGTAGAAATTGCAGAAAGATGGAAAAGTCAAAGAAAATAAACATTAAGGCTTCATCTACATAATCCAGTAACCAGTGATACTGTTAACATAGATTAAGGAACATAAAGTAGATACGGTGGGAAAGACAGAACATATTTTCAGTTATTCTAATTTTTCCTTTCCAGGAGTTATGAGAGAGAGAGAGTGTGTGTGTGTGTCTGTTGGGGGGGGAGTGTGAGTGTGTGTGTGTGTGTGTGTGTACAAATGCAAGCCTGTTTCTGCTTATGCTCTGTCTGGGCTTAGTTCGTTGTTCTTGATCAAACCATGATTTAGGGGTTGTGCATCTTTAAGTTATGGTTTCCCTGACATCTGGCTTTAAATTATAAACAAGTTCCTGTATCACACAATCTCAGAATTGGAATTGGAGAAGGCTTAAGAGGTCATCTAATCTAATCCTACTCTTGCCCCAACTTCTCAAATCGATGATCTTATGCCTCTTTTTGAACAATTACTGTTCAGGGATACATCCTTTCCATTTGGAAGCTCTGACTCTTGGAAGTTCTTCTTTATGTAAAGTAAACTGACCATAATAACTTTCCTCTGGTACTTTTGTCCTCTGTAACCATGTTCTGTAAAAGTTTGGTCTTTTTTCCATGTAAAAGTTTTTCAACTTACTGAGATCAACCTTATCTATTCTCACCCTAGAACAGCTCACCATATTTTCTTCTCTAATGATTCTCTAATGTCTTCCTTCTAGAATATGATTTCTAGATTTCTAGCCTTTTCAGTAACTAGCCACTTACCGTGCTTGTTTTCTAGTTTGTGGATTTTTTCTTGAAATGTAATGCTTATAATTGAATACAAGTTTTAAGTATTTTATTTTTTTATGCTTCTAAGTCAGAAGAAGCAAAATGTTTGAAGTTTCTGGATTAGCTATGTGTACAATCTGTTAATATATTTGCACATAAAAGGGAATGATACAATAAAAATCCCCAAATATTTGTTGTTTCTAAAATCAAGATTTATTCAATTATTGTAACTCATAATCTGATCTAATGCAGTTTGTAAAATATGTACATGTACGGTTACATAAATATGTACATTTGCCAAAAATCATTGATAAATACACATTACAATATGTGAGCTACAGTGTATTTAAAATTATACCTCAATAAAGTTGATTTTAAAAACAAACTAAATATGGACACAGTTTTTCTCATTCAGAATGAATACATTTCCCTTCCAATGGTATAAGCACATGAAAGGAAAATTAGGATTAATAAGTTATATATCTGATTGGGTTATGTAAGTAGCTCCTAACCCCTAATCTAAGGAAGATTTGTGCAGAAGAACTTTGGAAATAGCCATGGCTCTGTACAAATGTCCTATTTATAATAGTTTGTTTAAGGACATGAGATGGAGTGCTATTAGGCAAAAGCTCAAAGGAGAACCCCTGATTACTGTTCCCAGGGTGACTGAGTTCTCATGACCACATGGTTAAGGACTCAACAGAAACTCCATTTAGACACCAAATGACTTGGGAACGTAGCTAGAGTGACCACATCCTCTCATTATCATCACATGGACGTGATAGTATCTAGTCAAATTAACCGTGTATTTATGGAGTGCTTTCTGTGTGCATAGTACTGTGCTAAATTCAAGGAAGAATAGAGAATAGAATAAAAAAGAACCCATAGGACAGTCAAGATAGTTACACAACATTGTTAATGTACTTAATGTTACTGAATGTACCCTTAAAAATTGTAAAATTTGTGTTATATACATATTTTTACCACAATAAAAAAGCACCTGCATGGTCACTGAGAGATCCAGGTGTGGTCCAAAAGATGTTAATAAATTTATCAACTAGGCACCCTGCTTTGTTTTTCTTTGACCTTTATTACTCGTGTCCTCTTCTCTTCCTATAACTGTGGAACCAGCTCTCTTTCTAGTCGAGGGGAATTTAAAGAACTCTGGGCCCTTTGCTCAGTAGCATGTCGCCCTTGCTGTTAGTCCAGTTTTGTCTCTACTTTTTACCTTATTCCCTGTGGCTTTCATAATCCAGTTTTATTCCCAATGCATAAAAACTGAGCTGTAATGAAGTATCAGATTTCTCCGTTTATTATCTATGTGACCTTCTGGATGTTGACAGCAGTGAGCTTTGTAAATTGATGGGAGGACTAAATGAGATATTGTCAACTATTTTGCATCCCCCTTCCTACCACTGACCCACTGCATTCCTGCTTCTGTCTCTCCCTCATTTGATTCCCTCTTTGCCTGGAATTCTACTTTTGCCACCATTGGTACCTTTGATATTTTAGTACTGTAGTTCCTGTAGTCCCTTTCCTATTGCTGAATCCTCTGATGTCAACACCGTATTTACCTACTCTGTTTATTGCCTGCAATAGGCCAATATACTCTGCCTGTATATCATTGTGTTTGTACGTTTGTTTCTGGGCTTTTCTGTGTATATGATTGTATGTGAGTAAGGAATATAGATTACATACCTCTGGAGGTCAGAACCAGGATAGCTCAATGTTACATGGATTGGTCAGGATCTAAGACTAGGGCTGGCCTTGAAAGCTGGTTGGAATTTAGAGAGTGAAGAGTAAAGGGAAATACCTGGAGATCTGGCATTAGCTTCTTAAACCTGTAGCTTTCCAAACATGTTAATAAAACTGCACGACTACCAGCAAGGGAAAAACAGTTTTCATTAGTTTTGACTTCAATTGCCCAAATTGCATTCTACTTGAAAAATATTAACTTAATAAATCACTTTTTCCAGAATCTTAGGTGCTCCTATAACTGCTCATTAAGATTGAGTTAATGTTTTTCAGGCAGATAAGGGGATCTAATTCAGTATTTTTTAAAATCCATAGATGTGTTCTTAGAGTGTTTTGAGAATTCTTTTCCTTCAAAAAGGGAAAAGTATGTACATTACTTTAGTTTGAGAAGCACTACTATGTCCCCCATAAATGATTTAACTCACTGTTAAAGGGGTGCTGAGAACACATATGAGGAGCCAAAATATAAAATGTCAGGAAGGAAGTTTGATGGTTGTCTGATTTGGGAGGCCTAGGCAGATGCAAGCAAACATAAGTAAATCAGTAGCGAAAAGGGGAAGTTTGTAGATAGAGGTGAGGAGGCTTCTGAGCCACCATGGTTGTTAGGAGTGTGGTGTCCTATACTGGGGTAAGGTTGTGTGTGCATGGTTTGTCCCAGTATAAAGAGCCAAGGACATAGTGGACAACTAGTGACCAGATTCAGCTCTCAATGGAGTATAATTTGGCATCCCATGGACAGAAATAGACAACTCTGGCACCAGTTTGCTGCCTAACTGTAATTGTTGTATCATTGAGTCCTCCTTACTCAAGGGATAGAATTTGAACTTACAGGCAGAGTTTGAGATTCAAATCAAGCAAAATGGGGGAAGAAGAAGGCATAAAAAGAAAGCGGGCTAACTATTGATCCCAGGGTAGGGGCTGGTCTGCGCTCTGCCTTATTTCCCTGCCTATATTTAAGCAAGCTAACTGATGTCAGTATGCCCTTACAGATGTGGACCACCGTCCAGGGTGAGACAAGCCTCAAGTACTGGCAGGCGCAGTGATGGGTAACATTACAGTTCAAATAATCAGGCTTCCTTTTGTTTTGTGGTTCTTTATCCAGTTATTCCACAAGACTTTTGTGAAACAAATACTAAAATATTTTTAAATTTCACTTAATTTTTAGAAGTCATACAGCTTCAATATCCAACCTTTTTAGAAAGGAGCATTAAAAAATATTTCCCTGAGGCCTCGAGATCACTCTTAAGAGTATAGAAATGGCAGTAATCCTGGCAACCTCTACCATCTTGATAATATTATTTTGGGGCTGAGAGAGAGGAGACCTGTTGTCTATTTTCCCTCTACTCAACTCATCAAGCTCTGGAGTTTGATAAACCTGTGATTTATCTGCTAGCATAGACTTTCAGGCAAGAATAGAAGGTGTTGGGATATTGTCCCAAATAGAAACAATGACAGAAGTCCAGACAAATTGGATATTATTATTGCTGGCACTTGATGCCTCTTTGGGTTAGAAAAGAAAGCTAGCATGAAAGTTTTATTTCTGAGCAAAATAAAAATTGAATGAATGAGTACTGGGAGAGATTTAATGTTTTAGCCCCCTAGAATTTTCAAGCATCATAGAAAAAAGCTTAATATATTTTTTGATAGGAAAGAAAGATGGAAATTAAGCTTTCTTGAGAAGATCAGGAAGACTTTAACAAATTTCCCCTTGTATTCTACAGACACAATCTCATTTTATCCTTACTTCAGCTCTATGAGGTGTATCATTATCCTCAATTGGCAGATGACAATACTGATGCCCAGAGAGCTTGAGTAATTTGTCCAAGGGTACGAAGTGATAGTGCTGGGATTTGAACAGGGGACATCTGACCAAAAGTTGTGCCCTTAATCCTACAGTATATATATATCCTAGTGGTTTTTAAAGTATGCGAATCATGGACCTGCAGCATCAGCATCACTTGGGAACTCATTAGAAATGCAGATTCTCAGGCCCCACCCAAGCCTGCTGAATCAGAAACTCTGGAGATGGGACCCAGCAACCTGTGTTTTAGAAAGTTGTTTGAGTGATTCTGGAGCACACTCAAGTCTGAGAACCACTGTTGTATTTGCCTCTGACAGAGATGTTGGAAGGAAAACTGATACAGGACTTTTTTAAGGATTGTGTTAAGAGACGTCAAGATAATGGTGAAGAATATAGGAACGAAGAGATACCATAAAAGGTCTAACAGTGAAAAGCATGTATGTGGTGTATGAGAAGGGAAGGAATGTCATTGATACTGGTAGGAAGCAACTGTGGGAAAAATTAGCTGTGGTGTTTGGGTTTCACGTTTTCGGATGAAATGATGATTGAAATTAGAAGAGTGTGAGTTATAACTGCTTCAGTATAAATGAAGAGTTTAGTTATATAAGGGCAATCATATTTCAGGATGAAAGTTGAATTATTTCATGATCATTTGTAGAAGCTGGCTAAAGCTAGGGTTAGAGAGGGATTCTCTTTTTTTCTGTGAATTAAAAAAACAAAAGGTAAATATGTTGATGTGATGGTGGTTACATGGATTTGTACATTTGTGAGAACTAATCAAAGTATATACTCTTGAAATTGGGTGCATATTGTCATATGTAAATTCCACATAAAGTTAATTTAAAAATGGGAATGTGTTCCTGTGGCAAGCCATGAGTTCCATGAGTTCCTGTCGCTGGAGATGTTTGAGAGAGGCTCAGTAACCACTTGTCAGAAGCGTTGTAGTTGTAGTGGGGCTTCACATGGCGGAGGGGAAAATTGCACTCAGTGGCCTAACCATTCCTTCCACCTAGAGATTCCATGAGTCACAGCTTCTGTTGTGTCAGCACAGGTGTTACCGTTTTATGTAGAATGCTTTATTAATATATTTGATCTGAAACATTTTAACTTGTCATGATCTTAAAATATATTAAAGTGTACAGATATAAAACACAGGACACTAAATTCATTTACTGCTCCCTACTGCATATCACAAGTGGAAAGATTTCATGGCAGATCAATATTGTATTCTTATTCCTAAAACATGATAATTTGTATTTATTGGATCAAGGGCATTAAACTCCTAAGGCAGATTTGCCTGTTTTAAGCTGAATCTTCAAAGAAGATAAGTTAGACAGGTTTTTTGGTTTGATTTTGGGTTTGTTTGGGGGTTTTTTTCCCATCAAACCCAACATGACATATAAATGCTCGCTTGGATTTTTTTCCTCTTGGAAAGTAGATTCATTTGGAGAATAATATGTTCATATGTTTGAATGAATTTTAGTGTGAGATGCTTTTTCCTATAAAGCTGCCACCCTTTTTTAATCTAAAAATTAAGCCACCCTCTTTTTTTCATACGAGTGAATTTGTGCTTTCGACATGGTTTATCAGATGCTATTAATGAACTGCTATTAAGACTGCAAGGCTGCAGTACACGGAGCCCTGATTACAGGAATTAAAATAGTGTGTATTGGCTGACTGCTGCTCCCCAGCAGGAACGCTCACTCATAATTCCTTTGCATCTAGTCTCAGCAGGAGAAGATTGACAGCATTGAAGACCATGTCAACAGTGCTGCTGTGAATGTTGAAGAGGGAACCAAAAACTTGGGGAAGGTAAGATTCTGCTCCTGCTGACAAATCAATGGTACTCTGGCTCTCAGAAATCCCTAGTATTCACCCAATTGATCTGCTCTCTTTAATGTTGAGGGAACCAGCAATTAAGAAAATAAGAAAGAAATGACACATAGGTAGTGCGAGAAATCAATGGCTGTTGTAATATTCTACTCTAAGGTTCATTCTGTTGGGAGAGAAACTTTTTTTTCAAAGAGAGAACAAACTGAAGCCCCACTACAAGGCATTTAGTGTTATAAGAATATTTTCAGGGGTTCAGGGAGAGGAGTAAGGAGGGTTGCCAGAATCCAGTAGGGGCAAAAGTGTAAGGAGGTGACAGCACACATGGAGTGGATCCATCTACTTTCCATAGAATGTTGCTTTTAACCCCAGGTACATAGCATGGAATAATCTCTGTGCAACATAAAAGCTTTGGGAGTATCTGTGGCTGCTGAAACTGTTTAAATAAGCCAGCTAGATAGTGGATTGATTGTTTTGCAAGTAAAATCAATTTGTAGCAGTGCATTCTTTGTAGCTCATTTCTCGTAAGTTCTGAGATCTGGAGCAATTGTAGTACCTGTGGAATATTTTTGCGCCTCTCCCCACCCCAGAACAATTTCTAAGGTTAATTATGTATCACGAGTTAAAGAGGCATTGCCAGGAGTAATGAGAGGAAAATGCACATCACCGCAGGGAGATATTCTCAACTCAATTTCTAAATTGAATTTTTTTTTTTACAGGCTGCAAAATACAAGCTGGCAGCTCTGCCTGTGGCAGGTGCACTCATCGGAGGAGTGGTAGGGGGTCCGATTGGCCTCCTTGCAGGCTTCAAAGTAGCAGGAATTGCAGCTGCACTTGGTGGTGGGGTGTTGGGCTTCACAGGTGGAAAATTGATACAAAGGAGGAAACAGAAAATGATGGAGAAGCTCACTTCCAGCTGTCCAGATCTTCCCAGCCAAACTGACAAAAAATGCAGTTAAAAACCAAACTTCAGTATTACTGCATCAACATGTCTATCCTAATGAGGATCTTTGCTGCTGTTGGACACTCAGTCAGCTTTTGGAACATGATTATATGAAGATAGTGACTATAGATGCTCAAGTGGGATTGAGCTGTGATAAGTGGATGTACTTTGTTGTTTGCTGGGGTGTTAATGGGGATGTTAGAGACTGAGGAGCCTGCACTCGGGGTGTATAATATTTGTTAGGTAAAATTTAAGGACTGCCAGGGAGTGGATTTTTTTCTGCTTGGAAATGTGAAAGTTAACCCGTAACTTTGATGAGGACTTGTGACGTGTGGACATGTTGGGTTATGGAAGGATGGTTTTCAGAATAGTTTCTTCTATAACCCTGAATTGGAGGCCCTAAGGCTAAGCATTTGTAAATGTGCTTATTTATCTCCTAAATATAGGCTATTTAGGCATTTTAGCAAAGAAAAGAATGGAAGTTCAGGAGCCTTTCAAATCAGATAAGAAAATCAGCACCTAGCAAAGGGCACAAGTGAACTGCACAGTGAAGTCCATTCGGTGAGCCCTGTTGCAGTTTGATCTAACTGTATCATCTGGTGAGAGAAACTAATAGTGAAAAAAAAAATGGAAAGAGAGGCCCAACTTTTTTTCCAAATATCTTAATTTGTGACACTGGCTTCTTCTCTGAACTCTTCTTCTGTCTCTCTTTAAATAAAGCACACAGAGCCTTAAGTGGTAGGAGATTTGCTAAGCCAGTCATCAACCTGTCGCTTCACACCTCAATTATCTAGTGCCCTCTGCCTTCCCTCCCTTTAATTTTGACAACTTCTTTGACTTATGGGGTGAATTCTACCCATGTGTAATGCAGACTTTTCTCATAATCTTTTTGAAAAACTTTTATTTTCTGCCATCTCTTTTCATGTTCTCCTGTAACCTCTAGGTAAGAAACAGGTGTCGATCTCCATATATTTCCAGTATTGTTAGAGTTTGAGCTAAAAAATAAGCAAGAGCAGAACACCAGATCATTTCTTGGGGCATCTTCCTGTTTCAAAGATCTCATGTACCTGCTATACAGGGAGTCTCTGACCCTGAGTCTTTTCAGCTGGCACTTGGGGGAGCTAAGAACTAGCTTTCTACCTCACTTTTGTTACTACCGTCCTTTTCCCAAGGCTTTGCTGTCTCCTATGCTTTCCTTCACTTTTCACAGCTGCTGTTTCTTCCCAAGAATGGCATTCATGCTTGCCTTTCCTCACATTCAGGATGACGATGGACAAAGCCTGATGCCAAGACTCAGTCCTGGTGAAGGATTTGTGGTGCTAATCCCAACGCTTGACCTTGGTAGAAAGCATGGCCCAGTCCAACTCAAGGTCTGCCTCAAATAGCAGAAAAGTTTTAAATTTACGGGGAGAAAAAATTGGAGATTACAGGCGGCCGCATCCTATACCCTCAACTCATTTGAAATAGGAAGGGAACCACCTTTTGCCTTACCCTTTACTCCTTTCTGAGGACAGAGGAAAGGGCACCTACACCACAAAAGGTGTGGGCTGTCTCTGCTCAGGATCCAAGTGGATTCATCAGGCAGTTGAAAGGCTTATCACTCCTCTCTTGCTGAGTTCACTCAATAACTTCTGTTGATTGCTACTTTTACTTCTGTGTCTAAAGAGAGCTTTCTCTTTCATACTTTCTGACTTTCACCAATGAATTCCAATGAGAGAACACACCATTTGTTACTATTAAATAACTGGAAAACATCAAGTATTGCTACCTACTTAATTACTGGCTTGTATTTTTAATACCAACAAGGCAGTACTTTGAATAAATGTCAGATTCTGATCCAGTGTTTGATATTGGATACCTGTAAGGTTGGGATAATTACTTTGGAACCCCATCTTTTTTCTATTTTCTGATCCTTGCTGTCCGTTTAACACAGGCTGTTCGAATCAGAACGAGGATCAGAATCGCCCAGGGTGGGAATTTAAAACAAGCTTCTTAAACTTCAGCCCCATGTGTTATAATAGTAGCCAATCTGGCCTAGTCAGCTAAAATTATAAATTTAAGATACAGTTACATCAAGATTTTGCTATATTGTTGAATTCTGTAATTTCTAATATTCTACCCTTCAGCACAGCCCAGTCGCCATCACTGTGTATTAGTCCTACTCTGCCAACCTAAAATTAGCTAGCTCATCGTCTTAACAGCACTGGGGACTCACAGTGTCAGGCTGGTTTTACATCAAGATCTGAAGGAGAGAAAATGCCTATAATGGACCCTCCCATTTTGTTCTGGGATCTCTCCTTTTTACTGAGCCAGTGTGGGACGTCACTGTACGTGCTCATGTAGTCCTTTGATTTTTAATGCTCATCAGGATTGGAATATTATTCTAGCAGTCCTTATGCTTTGGCAAGTTATAATCTTTAATAAAAGTTTCATAATTTAAAATTATTTAGAAATTGTATCAAATTTCCCCATAATAGAACCTAATTGCCAACTTTTTGTAGAAATTTCTAGAAGTGTTTAATCAACTATAAATGATACATTTATAAACTCTAAAGTGTTTAAAGTGTAAATTAGTCAATATGATACTGAAACCAATCTTAAAATTGAGTTTAAGTCCCTACAGTATCAGATTAAATTCATATTCCATATGATTCATATCTCATTTTTACTGCAACAAGTTAGAAGGTAAGAAACACTATAAGTTCTTAGAATTTACAGAGGCTCATTTGGATAATGGCAGCACTGCTAAAGACTAACATAATAACCTGAGAATTTCTCTGTAGAGCAGAGGCTTTGAAACTTTTTGGTTGTAATCCATAGTTTGAAAATGCATTTACATCAAACTCAGCATATGCATAATGGAACAATACTTACCATTATGTGCAGTGTACTCTGATGTTTTCATTGTTTGTTTTTAAATATGCTAGTTGTAACCTTCTAAATTGATTTCCTAATCTATCGGTTTCAACCCTTAGTTTGAAAATAGGTATTTATTGAATGTCTTCTGTTTGCCAGACACTTCATTAGGCATTTTAGAGGTAAGGAAACCAAGTCTTAGAGAAGCTAAATAATTTGCAGAGGGTTATTCAACTACAAGAGGGTGAAACCAGTATGTAAACTAGGTCTGTTGAACTACAGAAACTTCAGTTGCTCTCATACCATGCTGCTTCTGTATGTAAGATTGAGATGGGCCATTCATTCTGCTTCACCCAAACACCCATATAGTCTTGCCAGGCAGGCTTGCTTTGAAATTACACATGCCATTCAGTTGTATTTTTTAATCTTCTCTTTCCTCACCAAGTGTCCAGCAGCCTGAAAGTTTTTAATGGTGGCCGGTGAGGAAGTACATAGTGCTGAATTTGGTCCTTAAACTATAGAATTAAAAGTGTTTCCATCCCACCCACACATCCTACAGTTTTCCTTATTTTTGTGGGTCATAGCCATCAATTAAGCAGTGCTTTTTATATTGAATTTTAAAATAAAGTAATTTCTTTAAAACAATCATAACTCACAGAATCAAATGATTATCCTTTAAACTGGTGCTCTTGGAAGGCCATGTGCTTACTGTCGTGATGCTGGTATTACTTAGAACGTTTTTGAAACTTTTCTTTTGGAGTTGCCTCCAACAACATTTTACAAATCATGTAAAAAAAGCTATCTCAGTGTTTGCTAGTCATAGACTATACTCCCTTGTCCTTATGCCCTCTCCTCTCTTGCTTCCTCAGTTTTGCTTTTCTTCTGCTGTTCTAGCTCTTGTTCACCTATGCTGCAGCCAGTAATCTAAGAACGCTCAGAAAACGGGTGTGCTGGCCAGAGTTCCCAGAACAAGAACTTCAGGTTATACTGAAGCCGAGTACTGTACAGGGAGAATTCTGTGAATCCAAAAACCTTCCTCTGTGGGCTGCCTGCCTGTAAGTGCCATAAGCAGTTTATACAGGAGTAAGGATTGAATCTTGGTATTATCAATCAATCACAAGAAGTGGAATATAAACCTGCAGTGTACATTTTTCTCCAGTGAAAGTACAGAAGCCAAGCCAAGCCATTCTTTGTGTTAACTTTAAAACTGAAAGGTCATTCTCAGGGTCCCCTTTGTTCTTCACTGCTGCCACGTGAAATCTTTGGGAGGACGGCTGAAGAAGAGCTCGGGAAAGCGGTTCTCCTGTGAACTGGGACGTTTTCTTCTCTGGTAATAAAGCGTAACATGGCTGTGGCTGTCGGGTACTTACGAATGCTAAAAACTATTCTTAAGTACTCAGGTCGAATAAAAGGTAGAGTAGCTCCCACACTGGCCTGAGTTAATGTAAACAGTTTAGTTCTGTTTGTTTTTAGTAACACTTCACGATGTTTCTAACAGGTGGTTCTCACTTTATATTCATTAATTTGAGACCATTTTATAGAGACACTTCTTGGGTATTATAAACAATCAATGGTAAAAGATAATATCCAGTGATATTATCCATATCACTGTCCTCAAAAAATTATTTATTGTGGGATTCAAGAAAGACATCTGTGCAATGTTAACAAAAGAAATAAATTCAAATAAAACCTAAAAGGTGTCAAAGGCAAATGATTTGCCCAAGGTTAAAGCTAGTTAACACAAAAGCTAGAATTATAACCATGATGTAAGAAAAACAAATCCTCAAAGTAATTTAACTGAATTTTTGTTGTGCTGTATTGGGTTGCTTGCTGAAGTTTGTGGTTTTCAGACCAGCTGTAACATTCCAAACCAGGCAACAGCTATCGAGGAAAGAGAATTGTATGGGGAGTTAGGAGATCAGAGTTTTAGTTTTGACTTTGTCTCTTGCAGTAAGCTTTTACTCAAGGATGGCTGCTCTCTCCCTTTCTGGCCAGGGATTCCCTAACCATAAAGCTTCATGGTCAGCAGCTTAGCATTCTCCATTCTTTAAATCCAGCCTCTTACTGTGTCCTGTCAGTTTTTGAATGTTATTTGCATTCATTTCTTAAATGTATTCATAGCCATCACTCTAGTAAATGACTTTATTACCTCACATCCTCACCTCATCTTCCCCAGCTTTAGGCCATTCCTCACATCACTGCCATAAGAACCGTCTTTCATTTTTCTGCTGAAATATTTTTGTTGGATCCTATTGAACACCTGATAAAGTTCAGCCTTCTGTTTTATGGCCCTGGCTTTATCTCTTAAAACTCACCATCAGACAATGCCACTGAAAATCAGACATTCCACAAGAATGGTTTTGAGGTTTTTCTGTGGGGAAGGTAGAAGCTGGTAATAAACTGTTTACATTTCTCCACTAAAATAATTTCTATAATACTACACTTTACAAAGCTAGTCAGCTGAGTTTTATTTAAGCTCTTGAACAAGCCTGCAAGTTGTTTCCTAAAGAGCAATCTTTTTTTCCTCTTTTGTTACATTCAATTTCTTAATCTCCAGAACAGTGTCAGTCTTGCCACCTATACAGGGGTAGCCAAAGCATGAGGATTTTAATTCAGCAGCGTACGTACTCCAGCCTTTGATGGACCATTGTCCAGCTCCTGTGGGAAACTGACTAACAAGTATTTGTGAACACTCAAGAGTACATGTTTTCCGTACGTTTCTCAAGTATGAGATGATCTTGTATTAAGGTTATGACTAAAAGATGTTTACCTGGGTTTCATTAATTAACCTCTTTAAAGATATTTTCCATTTTATTGTTAAAACCCTTGCTGTTAGCAAGAGGTTTAACAGAAGAGGCCCAGTGATGAGATTTTCTACAAATTCTGTAAAGTTTACTGAATTTGCTTATTATGTTGCTGAGTGGTGCTCATATAAGGAAACATGCAATAAAATCCCTCATTCAGCAAGCATTTTACAAAATGGCTGTTGTGTGTTGAGTGCCATTGCCATATGTAGAAAAATATTAGACCTATAGATCTTGTAAGCCATTCAGGCTGATGAATTCCGATTCTCAAAACTAGTAAATCACAGTAAAATGTGGTACGTACCCTAAAAGAGGAATGAACAAAGTAATATGAGGACACAGAATGGAGTGACTAGCTCTGCCTGGAAAAGAAGGGGAAGACTTTGTGGAACATGTGGCATTTGAGCAGTACCCTAAAGAAGAAAATACCTGGCCGGGTTTGTGGGCTTTGAAGTGGCAGCGGGAACTACAAGTACAAAGGGTTTGAAACGTGAATGAGTACATAAAGCGTGCTTAGAGAAAACCAAGGAATTAAATGTGAGTGATGAAGATAGTTAAGTGAAAATACAGACTAGGGTGTATATATTATACATGTATATATATATATTAAATTATATACATCTAATATATGTTTTTATATTTAAATATATATATATTTAATTTAAAAAATTCTTTGTTTAAAGGAATTAATATATCACTTTGTATCAGGTAAGACTGTTATAACCCTCTGAGTTCTTCATTTTGCCTTCGTTACCAGAGACATTAGTAGCAAACTTCACATTTGCCTGAGTTCTTGGTATATTTGGTGTATTTGCTTTCCTTTCCCACATGTAAGAAAAGATTTGTGCTTTTTGCCTCTGCTGTGAGATCTCTGCTTAATATTGAATGCATGCTTTCTTCCTATCCTGTTATTCATTCCATAAATATTTATTGAAAACCCACTGAGAAAATAGTCATGAAATTTACTTTTGCCTTTTAGTGTCCAAGACCTTCATGGTCCAGTTTTTCCATCTCTGTGTGAATATTTCTTGACAGATGCAATTCAGTGGCTCCCATTTTCACTTGTGGCTAATTCTGCAATGTTTTACAACTTCATAGGTGTTAAATTATTTCACTTGTGGTAGTGTGATCTCCCCCACTAGAATGTAAGCTTCTTATAGGGCAAGAGCCATATCATCTGCTTCTTGAGAGTATTTCATAATACAAAGTATCGCGATGAGAAGGGGAAAAGAAACTACACTCCTGTATGACTCCCAGATGATGAGTGATGAGGTCATGGCACAAGTGTTCTGCTGTTTTCAGGGATACATATTGAAATGTTAGAAAGCTTTCTAAGATGTATCAACTCTTTGCTCAGTACTCACTGTTGTATATTAACATAGGAGTGAATGATGCAACGGAAGAAATCTGGAAAACATCTCTAGGATTTGGAAGTCACGAATTGAAATTTTCAGAATTTGGAGGTAAAGATATTTCTATCTCTTTTTCCAATTAAAAGTCATGACTTGGAAAAGAAAGGATATAGGACCTGAGTCACTGAAGAAATGGTGTGGGAAAGCTGAGTTTATCTCCTGTCTTACCATATAGCATTAGTGGGGTCAGAATAGCAGGGACCCAAGAAGGCTTTATAATCTGATGGTCTAGTATTGAGACAAGAGTAATGGCAGGAATTTAATTGCTCTTTCAAGCAAGCAGAAATTTGAATTAGGCAAGGGCAAGGTTTAAGTTAAGAGGTGGGCATTTGACAGGACTTGAACCAAGGTTTCTAATACTCAGATTAATGTATTTGTTCCACCAACAGCCTCTCAGTGAGTTGATAGGAAAGGAGAGGAATAAAGTGCTTGGTACTTACTAATTCTCCCCTTTTTTAGGTGTTACTTCCCTTTTTTTACTCTCTAGGTTTTATTGTTCATAACAGATGGCTCCTCCTCTCTGGGTTAAGGTAGGGGCCAACAACTCAGGACTTCCTTAGCATTCCCCTCCCCGCATCCCCACCTCCCCATTGGTACCTTGCCTGTCTTACAGAGTGGTTATGAAGATTTAAAAATGTGTACGTGTTAAATGGAGCCTGACTCATAGTAACTGTACAAATGTTAGTTGCTGCTGTTATTGTTGTAACTGTTACTGTTATTTTTCCCCAAAGTTTAAAGGAAAGGCACATTAATGAAAAATTATCATGTACCTACAAGAACAGTGTTAGGGAGACACTTAAATTGAGTGGAGACTTGATAAAAATACCAAGAATTCTATAACTTTTTAAAAACACTTAGTTATTAAGAAGGTGGTATAATGATGACAGATAATTGGTGGAAAGTAAATCTTTTTCATGTCTGTTAAGAGTGACACCCAAACATGAGAATGTGTGAGATCTGGTTAGGAACTGGACGATCACACACCCCGGGTTGTCTGGGACTGTCTTGATTTACATCTCACATCCTGGTGAAACTGTTACTAATGCTCCCTATCACTCCCAAATGTCCTGGTTTGGAGGAAAAAATTACATGGTCACCCTAGTTACACAGGCAATGGAAATAAGCATGGGGTTACCAAAAAAAAAAAATCTGTGTTTTAAAAGAATTTATAGTTTCTAGGCTCAGATAAAAAAACTACATAAGGTTAGTGAGAACTTGTAGATTGATCATGAAGCACCACCAGTGATCTTTCAGGAACCAGAAAACAGAAGGTGCCAGAACACTGAACTTGGGCACAAGTCTGTAATTGAAGGGGTAAATTTGGATTCCAGAAGCCACAGAGCAAGGAATTTACCTTCTAGTTCTAGAAAATTTCTGAAGTAGACTATTCAACAATGTTTTGAATCAGAAAGAAATGCTCATTATGAAGACATGAAGAATTAAGAAGAGTAAGTCAGAAGAGAGGCCTTGTTTTTCCCTCTCACTATGTGCGTGGCCAGGGATACCCTGCTCTCTTCCTCCTCTGGGCAATGGTTAGGGCAAGAAAACAAAGCATCAGCCTTCCAAGACTGATCTGGTCTTCCCTAGGCAAGTGTACACATGGCATCAAGGGAGTGGGCATGCAGCTTCCTCCCTGGCACCCATCCCAGTAAGTAAAACGCATGACACAGCACAGACAGGCAAGTATGGGATCTTTTACCTGAGTGGCCCAGAGCTGGGAGAGAAGCATGACAGCAACACTTTGCTATTACAGAAAGATGCTAATAGAGAATGACAGCGTCTATTAATGTAATGCTCCTGGAGGGGAGAAGTTTAGGAAAGAATACAGCTTTTTCTTTTCCTAGCCAAGAAGACCACTTCTCTTGGGAAGGCTCTCCTGACCCCCAAGGCTGCACTCTATTGTAGTCGCCTTTTCACCCATTTGTTTTACTCCTAAGTTTGAGCTCCATGACACAAGAGGGAGGCTCTTGTTCACCGTTGTATCCTTAGCCTGGCAACAGCAGATTAATGCTTGCCTAATGGGGACTGTACGGCATTTTGTAAACCGCACATGGTATTTTGTCATCTCACTGTTGTCTGTCCTTCCACAAGGCGGAGTGACTAAGCTAGGGGTCAGATCTACCTCATAGAAAACGTGTGGCGTTCATGGGCAAACTTCCTGCAGCTGTGTCGGACTGCACTGCCCAAGAGGGCACTCCAGTGTCATTCTGAAAGTTCTGTATCTCCGGGTTGGTGTAAAATTTTAATGTGTTCTAGACTAAAACTCTTAGGACCCCCATAGTTAATTTAGAATATAGGATTAAAGGTGACTAGACATCAGGTAACTGAGAGTCACAGATGACCCAGCTGAGTCCATTTCAGTTACAGTGATGCTTTTTTGTCTTTTATTCACTCATTTGTTCGTTTACTTATTACATAATTGGGCTTTTTCTTTTTCATCAGAGATTAATCACTCACAGTGCTCTAGATTTCTGGGAATACAGATAGAGGTGTTTCTTGCTTCACATGGTGATATGGAAAAGGGATACATAGACTTCCAACCTTCTGTTAGACTGGGTGCCCTAGAACACGTAAATAAAGGGCTGTGGGACCACAGAGGGTGATAATCATCTTGGGCATTGAAGGTGGACAGAAGGAATTTACTATTATGCAGTGTTGGGGAGAGGGAGTAAAAGGAGCATTTTAGAGAAGCAGTTTATTTGTAAGCTGCACTTTTCCTCTTCCAGTGACTCCAAAACCTATTCTCTAAGGTCAGGCCAGCCCTTCCCCAGTGTGCTCTGCAAGAGGGAGCTTTGATGCTTCAGCCAAAAGCTAGGTTTGAGTTACTGGCACATGGATTCATATACCTTTCCATTCTGAGTTAAGTGCAATTAAATAATCTAAAGAATAACTTTAAAACTGGAAAATCTTGTGCTTCTGGTCATCTGGATTCTGAGAAAATGTTCACAATATGATAGGACAAATTGAATTAGTAAAAAGTCTCAAAGAAATATTTTATAAATATAGTTTTATTACTTGGAAATATATACAAAAATTCAAACACAGCTAAAAAACAGTTGCCAAGCAGCGGTATTATCCATAAAACCATAGCGGTTTTAATGAACACATAGAACAGTTATAATCAGCATAAAACAGTTTAAGTCCTGAAACAACTTACTGTCTTCAGGGTCTTTAAATATTGGGTTTAAAAATGGATTATTCTTTACAGCTACTTAAATCTTCCCCCCAAATATAGTCTACTAACATTTCAGTTTGGTTCATGAGATATTTTATTTAGAAAACACCTAAAGCCATTTAACTGTAATGATTTTGAAAACTGGAATACTGTTTGTCCATTTCCAGTCTTCTGTTACCGTATATTCTCCATAGTGTCTCAAAAATTCCCAGTAGTTGCTAACAAAAAGCATTTGCAACATTTAGCAGCTCTCTGGGATACTGCAGTTTGGGCCAAAGAGCCCTAAAACTCAAGGTGACAAGATCGTTTTACTTCTCATTTTTGTGATTTTGCTTATGTCATTTTGTTTTTGTCCAGGTAGACCTGATCTTACAGAGAGAAAAAAATTAAAATTGAGTTATTCTGCTTTTCCTGATTAATCCATTACACTCCTTAATCTATTCTTTTTGCCCTGACTCAGGTTTTTTAAGTCTTTCTTGGCAACTTTAGCATTTTCTGCAAATTTAAGCTCATTCTGAACTTCAACATTTCAAACACTTCTATATTTCACTTTCCTCTTTGGGGGCTTTATCATGCCAGTTTTTCCTTCTGGTATCTGTGGTCTTTGACAACTTGACTTCATCAGAAAGCTTTCTATGAGATGTTTTAGATGCCCATTCTCCATCTTCTTCTCTAGGTTCATTTAACTTTTTAAAAAATATTCAGTATTTCATCTAAAGATCGTTTTCACCCTTTTATGGTCCCCCTCAATACTGTAACAATTTTTGAAAAACTGGAAAAGGTAGTGAGCTGACAAGCAGTAGGGCCTGTTTCTAATTTTGGTTTTGCAAGAACCTGATTGTTCTTGAGTCTAGTCTAGTATACCCTCTCTTCACAGTTGAGGAGCCTGAGGCCTGGAGTAGACTGGATAAAATGAGAAGACTTCCACCTGTAACATTCTTTGATTCGTGGTTCAGAGGGGAAGAAGTCTAAACTGTGAGTGACAGATCCCTACGGAATCTCTTGTATCTGTTTCTCTCCGTCTCTGCTGTCACTCTCTTAGCTCTGGCTATTACCTCTCCTCTCCTGGACTCATTTAATCATATCTACACCTGCTGCGAGTGTTCTTTCTCAAACTTAAATGTGAACATACTTCCCTGCTTGAATTTGTTGATGGATCTCTATTGGCTATAAGATACAGTACAAACCGCTTCCTTAGCTTGGCATACAAGGCTTGGCACAGTCAGCTCCAACCTTCTCATTTTCCTAGCCTCAGGCCTCCTCCCATCCCCACCCTGCACTGGCCCTCTGGCAAGAACCTATTTTCTCTAATGCATTTTGCTGTTTCACACTTGAGCTTGTTAATGACTTTTTATAAAATTGGGCACCAAGTCCTGATGATTGCTGAGCCCTTCAGGGGTGCAAAATTACCCAAGGTCATAGAGCATAGCTCACTCATTCGATACACATGTGATGATGACTACTAAGTGTCCAGAAATGCTGGACACTGGAGATACAGGCATAAAATCCAATGTCACTGCCCTCAGTGGCTTGACACTCTAGAGGAGACAGTGGCGGTGGCAGGGCTAAAGCCTAAGCCCCTATATGTATGAATGCTAAAATAAAGCCTCAGATCCACTCACTCTTTAAACAGCCACTCAGTTATTTCAGATCACAGTGAACATGTACTCCTTGAGACCTTTATAATAACTACTCTCAAACCAATTATCTGCAACCCAATTCTTAAATGTTATCTTTTGTTTATTTTTTTTAAAGCCAAATATAGGATTACAAATTTATCCCAGTCAATTGCATGTGCTGCTTTTGGTTTTGTGTGCTAGCTTAACATCTGTAGATTTTTATTCTGACCACCTCAGATTTGGTCCATCCTCTGACCTGAAGTTATTGATTAAACTCTGATATTAAAGTTACTGATTAAAAGCAATGAAGAGAACAGATTTAAGGCCCAACCTTTAGGAATCTCTGTCCTGCTTTTCTATTTAACAGTCTGGTAAAATATACTAAACATGCCCCTTACTACCTTATTAACATTTATTATTCTGAATAAAATGATGGGTAAGTCATGCATAACTAAGAATTTTAGGCTGTTTTTAAAAAATAACAATCATTAAATATCTATTATAAATATTTATTTTAAAAGAATTGGAAGATGTTACATATATTACATACTACATATAATGGCACACGTCAGCCTTTTAAGCTTAAAAATAATCTTTCCCCAAACTGGGATTGACTTAGACTCCAAGTATAAAATGACTCTTGGCCTATAGCACCAACCCAGGCTCAGAGGAAAGCCAACTGGAACCTGTCCTCTGGCATTGGGCTTCCTGATATGACACGGAGGGTCCTCTCCCTCTGGTTTTGTTCCCTGGTAGTGCTGAGGCCTGGCACGTGGACCCATTTGACTGTACACTGCAGGCCTAGGAAATCAGGGAATCTAGAGGTGGGCAGCGTCCTCTAACAATTTTACAATGGAAAAAAAAAATACGTGCCTTATTGTCTTTGTTTTTGACCTATACAACTATAACAAGACTATAAGATAGAAGAAAGTTAGAATTAATTGAAATACATTTTTTCTGCTGGTTTTTCTCTTTGGAAATTTGTGTCATGATAGGAGGAGCCTTAAAAGTCATCTAGTTCAATATTGGTAACCTAGTCCCCTAGTATCCCTCTCCTAGATTTAGGTATAATTCAAAGTTTTGAATGCCGTCCATATGCCACTTTGTTAGACAAACAGAAATTTAATAACACTTCTCATTTTCTTTTTCTTAATTCATAAGGACAATTCCTGCCAAATGTTCTGGCTTCTGGCTCTCCTCCTCTTCATACTATGTTTAAGTTATACATTAAGAGTCCAAAAATTACCACTATGGGATTTTTGATAAGGAGTATCCAACCAATCAGTAAAACACGGTACACAGTGTGACAATTTTAATTTATTCCCTCCCAAGTATTCAGAATATATACCCCCTTAGCTTTAAGAAATGTGATAATGAAAACACCAACAGAATTGATCATATGTAAAGAAAAGAAAGAAAAGCACATACTACAACAGGAAACATCCCTAAGCCCTCCTTAGTCTAGTAGTGCAAGTTAATGGTCTACTTCTGGCAATGTCACCTTTCACTTGATTTATTAAAATTTTACAGGACAGATTTAAAGCAAAGATAGGCCTTTGATTTTTATTTTTTTTAACCCTAGCAGATTTTCTTTTTAAAGAGGCTGTATTAAATGACAATGCATTTTGAGTCGGGGAGAAAAAAATTAAAAACCCAAAACGTCTTTCAGTTTATTCAAAATAAAAATACACATAGAATTATGAAAATATAGGTTTACTATTTCCACCACGTAAGTTGATGCTGCTGTTTGAAAGGCTTGCAAATTGTTTTTCAAGTTTTTAAAGCTCATCTCGATCCCTCAATAAAGTGTACCTATGTCCGCTGGGTGCTAGTTTCTGGAAGGAGCTCTCAGGTGGACTGCTTGCTACATCTTGGACTTCCTACAAGAGAAGGAACGAAACAGTTTTATATCAATATATTTTATGGAGTTACAATATTTTAGTAAGAATATTAGATGAACGGTAATTGCCCTATAATTATTTGCTTAATAATCAAAAGCTACTATGTGTCAAGGACCAGAGTTAAGTGTGAAATCTTGCTTTCCCCATTTCAAATGCCCTTAACTCAGACTCTCCAGGGCAGGGCTGCCACAGAGCCATTAACTATGGACTTGATGCCAGTTCCTGGGGTGTGAGGGAAGGAAACAAAATACCCGATACCTGGGTGCTTTCCTAGACTATTCTGTAGAGACAGCATAACCCTAAATTGGCCTAAATGCTTACAAATGATTGCTAAGAGAATTAAAGACACCTACTCTGTAAATAGAGATCTGGATGCCTGCAGTTATCGAAACTTAGTTGATGTAAGGAGGAAAACAAACACTTCAGTACTGCAAGAAATTAGTTTCTGTAGTATTTTACTTATGCACCAATAGTAAATAAAAATATAGAGAGGAACTATAAGAGTGACTTCTAAGAATTTCACAGAAAAGACAATGTAGTCTATCCTTCATACCATGAGCTCCCCAAGAGCAAACATGTTTATTCACCATTGTTTTAACATTTCCTATAGTTCACACAGGCACATAGTGCACACAGTACATGATGTACATATATCATAGCACATTCCCATTATACTGGGAAGCAAAGTGTCTAGAAATTTCCCTTTTTGGTCTCTTTCCCCAGTACATTTTTATTTTTTGCTGAGATATAATTTCAGCTTAATTAAACAAAACATGTATTACTATGAAATGTTACTATGAAATGAACATGTATTTGCCTACTATGTACTAGTATGCAAAGATGAATAAATACAAGCAGTTCAGTGTCTAAAGGAGAAGCAAAAACAAATCAGGATAATACAATAATGGAAAGCTACAGCTTTTCTTAATCTAATAAAGTACTAAGCAGGCCTACTTTGGGTTACTGCCAGCAAAGGTTTCCTGCTTCTACCACTGCTTAATTATCAAGGAAAAATCTGACCTCAGATTTCAAGGAAGAAGCACGTCATTAGATAGCTAAAGGGAACGCTTAACTCTGAACTTAATTTGACTTTTAAAGTAAAGAAAAAGTCACTTAGTTCTTATTTTTATTTAATATGGGGTGGTTCTTTGGCCAAAACAGTGGATTGAAGTTCTGGGCATATGAAATAAGAGTTTTGGTATGTATCATCTTCCCTCAGTATAATGGTAATTAATATACATGATATAAATCAATAATGCATCAAGATGCAAATTTAGGGGTGTTTAACAAAGCAGGAACTTGTACAGAAGTTACAACGTAACTTCTAACAAGTTTACTTATAACAGAAGTTAAAAGTCATAAATAATTCCCAGGTTAAAAAATATCAAGAAAATATAAAATTTTGTTGATAAATAGTTGTCAAACATTCTAAATCTCAAATGGAAAAGCTGCATTAAACCATAACTTTGGAGCATTATGAACACTGTAGCAACGAGGGCTCTTTGGATGGGTCAGCAATCATACCAGATCATTATTTTCTTTATAGTGCGGCGAGTGTCCCAGCCACAGAGGAAGGCTTGAACAATACAAAGAATCCATTGATATCTTCACTAATCTACCTGCTTCTAATTTCTACCTCTGACTTCTATATGAAGCCAACTGTATTTAACCCTTTTATAGCCATATTCCACAAAGGACATACCCAGACCACCTTAATTTATATGATCAAGAAACTAATTCTTGCAACTTTTCTGAAGGTTTAAAATTTTTAAAGGAACATATTTGTATATTATCTAGAGTCTGCTCAGAATTTCTATACAAAGGCACTCAGGAACAGAAATTTAAGGCTATGTAAGAGCTTTAGGTCCTCTTCAAGATTAACTGAAAAAGAAAAAAAAAAAGAGTTCATACTGAAAAACAAACAAGAGTCCTACCTGTCCTGGGGCTGTATCAGTTGGGTCAGGACCGTGATGGAATTCTCTGTGCAGTTTTCCAGAATGTAAGTCAAATACAAACTGTTTGAGTTTTCCAGGAATTCTAGAACCAAAGTAAAATTAAATTTTAGCCTAAACTATTAAATTGGACTTATTTCTATTTTATCTACTTCACAACATTAAAAACAATTAAAAAAAATTTTAGTGGGGGTTGGGAAGGGATAGACTGGGATTTCAAAATGTAGAATAGATAAACAAGATTATACTGTATAGCACATGGAAATATATACAAGATCTTATGGTAGCTAGCTCACAGAGAAAAAAATGTGACAATGAATATATATATGTTCATGTATAACTGAAAAATTGTGCTCTACACTGGAATTTGACACAACATTGTAAAATTATTATAAATCAATAAAAAATGTTAAAAAAATTTTTTACCTACAACCCCACCACCCTACCGTAACTATTAACAGGTCAAGTACATGTCAAACATTTTTACAGTTGTAATCATGATATCTAGATATTCAATTTTGTGTTCTAATTCTTACATTTATTCTATAGAAAATTTTACATGCTTACTGTAACAGATACATTAGAATCTATCTACACTTATTCCTTTATTGTTGGGCAGTTATATATTTTCCTTAATATATATAACTGAAAAAAAAACTTACGTTCTGCAAAATTACACTAAAAATAATAGGGGCTCAAAGGAAAAATAGTGTTAGGGGCTAACCACTTAAGACTATGTAGCTTTGTAACCAGAGTACTCCTAAGAGCCTATAACAAAAATATTAGCACCCTTCAGCCTCCACCAGCATCTGAACCCTGTGTCAGCCATATGATCCTATGTAACCTTAACCTGGAGCTTAGCAGTCCTCTTTTGAGATGCAGGTCTTTGAGGGCATTCACTGCCAGCAGAACCAGTTTTATCAAAACTGTCTAAACCAGGGTGTAGCTTTTTCATGTTTTTCTTAACCAGAGGGGGAAATGTCTTCACAACTTCTTCAAGCACACAGGCCGTTTCAATGGCTAGCTTAACATTGTGAAAAGCAAAACACTTCTCAAGGCTATGAAAATGGCTCTTTTTTTTTTTTAAAGTAAGTTCTTTATATACCACTAAGGATTGTCGTTTATGATGAAAAATCTTTCTTTGGTGGGTTCAAATTACTGAGAAAAATAACAAGAACCAACACAACTCACTTCATACTTGACATCATTCCCCTAATTACCAATCATGGTGTGAGCAAATTTGCAGTACAGAAACATGCACTGTAGCAAAACAGACCATTACAAAGCTAAGCAGATTTATACATCAGCCTTTTTTCTTCATAATTATTTCCTTTTGTTGTATCTGATAAAGCAGGAGTGATGACTTAAAGAATACGAAATTTTAACAAAGTGTGGGCAAATTATAGATATCAAATATCAATATTTACTGATACTTGTCTACTTATTTGTTCTCTGAAGTCTTGCCAATACATTTATCTTTTTTATAATCAACATTTGATTTGCTAATTTGATAAGTAAATGACACCTGCATTTGAATTTCCATTTCTTCAGAAATTAAGCATTTTTCCATTGTTGTTTTATATTTCTGCTCATATGAATTATCCTCTACCTAGATCATGGTATTTTTAAAATTCATTATATTTTAAAATAGAAACCCTCTGTTTTTCATATCTGTTACAAGAATTAAAATACAGATCTACAAACATTTTAATTCCTTCAATAGAACTGACTTTTTAAATCACTGCTTTTTTGCTAGCAGAGCTCGCTGTGTTAATATTACTAGTTTCCTTTTATCCTCTCCTGAGGTCCTGCAAATGCTGTTTCTTCTCTTCAATAACTCCCACTGTGATGTAACAGCCAATAACTTCATTGTACACCCATTTTGGCTCCCCACTAGCTCCAATGCAGTAGAGGCCAGCAGGTGCCAAATGCACAGTTTATAAATACAAATGACTGTCAGGTAGCTGTATTGATAGAATGCCTCTGAAAGGTTCTCTGGTACAGAGGAAACTGCACTTGCATCAGAGATAAACATTGAGAGGATATCAATTTAAATTTAGTCTGACATCATCCACTGCAAAGTGCTAAAATATATCCATTCAATTCAAAGAATGCAAATGATCTATGTTTAAAATAAAGCCCTTGCTAGTTTATTTTATAAGGTTCAAAAGTGATTGCAACCAATACAGTATGAATTACTTCTGCTAGTTAAGAAATAATTTATAATTAAATTTTAAATGTAACAGATTCATAAAGAACACTCAAAACAGATTTTCTCCCTCCTTGTCAACACACAGAGAGAATTGCGAGCAAAATGGCGAAGAGGAGATAGGATGAATCTGAACTGATGTGGTAGAAAAACAGATTACAAAACAGCTCTTACCTAGCTTTTGTCTAGAAACTATCCATCATTATTAGGTAACAATCAGTGAATCAACAATATATTATCCAGAAAACAGATAACATGGTTATCTGCTAAAAAGGAAAGCAAATGGACCCTTGCTGTAATAAATTCAATTATATTTTCACACTTTAGGTACCCTTTTTCCAGAGTGGCTGTATCATTTTGCAACCTTACCAGCAATGCATGAGAGTTCCAGTTGCTCCATATCATGAACATCTGGTATTATCAGTATTTTAATTCAGCCATTCTAAAAGATGTATAATGGGATCTCATTCTGGTTTTAATTTTCATTTCTCTAATGAATAATGATGTTGAGCACCTTTTCTCATGTTTATATGTCATTTGTATATCTTCTTTATATTCTAGCAGTATCTTTTGCAGAGCAAAAGTTTTTTAACTTGATGAAGGCCAATTTATCAATTTTTTTCTTTTACAGATAGTGTTCTAAGAACTCTTTGGCTAACCCCAGCTTATGAAGAGTTTCTCCTATATTCACTTGTAAGAATTTACCTTTCACATTTACGTCTAAAATCAATTCTGAGTTAATTTTTTATAGGAAGAATTTCCTTTTTTGGTATCAGGATAGTCAGGTGGTCCAGTACCATTTGTTGAAAAGATTATCCTCCACTGAACTGTCTTTGCACCTTAAAAAAAAAATCAATTACTATATTTCATGTCTATTTCTCGATTCCCTATTCTGTCTCACAGCTCTATGTACCTACTTTTTCACTGATAATGCACTGTCTTAATTATTTTAGCTTTATAGTGTCTTAAAATTGGGTAGTATGAGTCTTCCAATTTTGTTCCTTTTTCAATATTATTTTTGTTACTCTAGTTTTACCTTTCCATGTAAGTTTTAGAATGAGCTTGTATGGTCTCATTTACTCAGCAGTAAATCTAGCTGTGATTTTGACTGAGATTGCATTAAATCTATAGATCAATTTCGGGAGAACTGATATCTTAACAGAATCGAGTCTTCCAATAGATGTTTCTTCATTTATTTTGGTCGTCTTTGATTTCTTTCATCAGCATTTTACAGTTCTCAGCATATACATCTTGTACATATTGTGTTATATTTATACCTAGTCTTTTTTAAAATGTTTTCCTTTGGAGCTGTTATAAATGGTACTCCAAATGTTTAATGATTTCCAACTGTTCTCAGTGTATAGAAATAAAAGTGATTTTTAAAAAGTTGACCATGTATCCTGCTAAAATCACTTATCAGTTCTAGGAGCTGTTTTGTAAATTCACTAGGAGTTTTTACATATACAATCATGTCATCTACAAAGAAAGATAGCTTTTTTTCCAGGCTAAACACCTTTTATTTATTTTCATGTCGTATTGACTTGCTAGGACATTTGTATGACATTAAACAGAACTAATGAGAGTGGACATCTTCGTCAAAAACAAGAAAATACTTAGGAAGAAATTTAGCCAAGGAGGTGAAAGATCTGTACACTGAAAACTATGAAACATTGATGAAAGGAGACACAAACAAATGGATAGATATTCTATGTTCATGAACTAGAAGAATTAATATTGTTAACATTTCCATACTACCTAAAGTGTTGTATATCTGTGCTGTCAAATACAGGAGCCACTACGCACATGTGGCCATTGAGTACCTGAAATAGGCTTTGTGTCTGAGAAACTGACTTTTAAATTTTATATCATTTTATTTTTAACTTTAGTATTCATATAGGGCTAGTAACTATAATATTGGGCAGCACAGCACTATGATTATTACTACAAGGAGTCAAAGAAGCACAATCAGTAAAAGACAATGAAAGAGCCAAAAAAAAAAAGGAAAGAAAGAAAAGAAAATCATGATGACAGTGCCATAGAACTCAAGTAGACAGCAGAGTATTCCACAGCACCAAAAACTGTAAGAATGGTTAATGAGGATACGTTTGGTAAAGTCCCATTAGCAGCAGAGTTTTTTTTCATGGGAAAAACCTGGATTCAAACAACAGGGGTTATTTAAACAAATCATGAAACAATCTAGTGAAAGGCAAACTATACAGCTATTAGAAATAATGGAGAAACATTAATGACACGGGAAGATGTTTACAATGTGTGGACAAGTTAAAAAGAAAATTCATAAAATAGCATGGCTCTAATTTTATAACACAGACAGATGTCTAGATCTCTTTTGTGGATTTATGGGTGATTTTAAATTCTTTGGCATTTTATAAACTTTCAGAATTATCCACAAAGAAGATAAAAAATTTTATAATCAGAAATAAAGAACAAATGATATGCTTAATACACACATACACAAACACATATATGTGAAGAGAGTGCACACCTTTGCCTGGTTCCTGATCTTAAGTGAAAAGTACTCAGTCTTTCACCATTAAGTATGACATTAGCTGTAGGTTTTTTGTAAATTTCTTTTATCAGATTGAGGAATTTTCCATATATTCCTAGTCTGTTAAGCATTTTTGTCATGATGGATACTGAATTTTGTCAAATGCTTCTGCATGTGTTGATGTGATCGCTAAATGCCAAATTACACTCGTTTTTTGAAGGCTGAACCAGTCCTGCACACTTGGGATAAAACCCACTTCATTGTGATATATTATTCTGTTTTGAAATGTTACTGGATTCAATTTCCTAATATTATTTACTACTCTTAAATTCAACTTATACAATGATGCAGCTTGAACTCGTTTAATGTA